TATGTATGTATGTATGTATGTATGTATGTATGCATGTATGTATGTATGTGTGTATGTATGTATGTATGTATATGCCTAGTGTTGCAAAATTATAATTTGAATGGTAACATAACATATATCCGTCAATATTACTTTCCTAGCTATATATATTATAGCAAAGGTCAACGGGTAATTTATTCTATCCAAATTTCCCAACCACTATGCACGTATATCCAAATCCATGAATTTGAAACACAAAACTGTTTGCACGATTTGATCAACAATATGCGTCAATCCGGATTTTTCAAATGGTAATTTGTATCAGTACGAATAGTTAGTTATTCATTCAGTAGCGTACGATTATCCAGAGAAAACTGATGAGTGCCAATGGCGCAAGCGTTCGCAAGTTACTTTAAGGATGTCGAGTTTACTGCTCAACTTTTTGGCTGTTAACTTTGCAAGCTACTTAAAAAAGTTGTCTTACTTTTAGCACTTCAGCGAAATACTTTCCTCCGACGTAGTTATCGGTTTTGATGAATATTTCACGTAGTGTGCTCTCACCAACAGGATTATATTTGGTGTTAAATTTATCGAAACGATGGAAAGTATTTCGATCGGCGTGAACATCCAACATATCAACTGACAGATCGTATGCATTAATACCGAGGCCTGTAAGTAATGAGTCTTGAAGTGACAGAAATCACAATTCGTCACAAAAACAGAGGAAGAGGAGAATCTATTAATTTTTCCCTTCAGTTTCTTGAAAAAGAGCTAATGAGTGACAAAACGCAACAAAACTGAGCAAACGTAGCTAACAGAAATCATCACATGTAGAGACTTTTTGGAGCTCCTGAAGAAAAGCTTCGCCTGCCAACTAACTTTTTCAGAATATGCATAAGATGGTCCATAAGGAATAAGATTATTTCATAAATACGCAGTGTTAAGAAAGGACATCCTACGTTTATTTTGGAGTTAAAATGCAGCCGAATTTTGACTCTAAAGTTAAATTTAATACATAGTAAGTTAAAAATTGACTTAAAAAATCTCGATCTCTTGATCAATTATTCTAGCAAGCTTTGAAAAGTATGCAGTGTCATTAATGAAGGGAGACGCTCTAAAAATAAAAACCTTGATGACAGAAGTAATGGCGATTAGTGATAATCATGATTTTAACAAACTGGGATTCTCATTTTTGCAAGTATATTAAAGACTTTGTTAGTCTATAAGAAACATACAGTTCGAGAGTGAGCCCTTTCAGATACTGTATTAAAATGCGAATCTTTAATAAGATTATGAAAAATTAAACATGAACCAACCTTCGAATACTTGCTCCAATGTTATTTTTTTACCGTTCTGAAAACAAGTTTTTGTTATAATGCATTTACATTTTAACTAAAAATGCCATTTATGATTGTCAAAGATAGACACAAAAT